AAAAAAAAAAAAAAAAAAGCTGTAGTTTTCTTCAACTTGAAATTATTGTGGTAACAGCATCTCGCGAATATGTAAAAATTTCAGAATAGAACAAAAATGAAAACAATGATTAAGCTTTCAACTACAACTTACAAACCAATTTGGTTACAGCAAGTTCGACCGATAACATTAAATACCTAAAGAAGTAAAGCCAGTTGAAATTGTAAAACACAGAAAACAGAGCAAAGTGTAAGCGAAGTAACTTTTTCATATAACTAGCCAAACTTGAGAAACCCATCGGTTATCAGCAAATGAAAATCTTGCACTTGGAGAATAGAAACCTTCAAATTATGCGAATACAAACCTGGGCAAGTGAACCTTCAGGAGCAGACAAACCATAAAATTTCAATGTCACATCACAATGAGTGGTCCTATGTTTAATCTTTGTGGAAACATGAAGTTGCTCAAATCTACCACAAGCTATCTCAGTCTGATTTATACTGATGATTCTGGCAGCAGCTTGGCCAATTTGTACATTTACCAAATAGTGAATCATATTCTGCAGATCCTTTCCAGAATGTGATGTCATGTCCTCATCTGGCTGGTTGCTAAGTAAATTATTAATTGCCTGCCATTCTTCTTTAGTCAGTCTTTCCTCCAACAACTGAGATCTCTCAGAAGTATTCCCTTCAGAGGCATCTCCAGTGGGAGTACGCCTGTGATGATACGGAATTATAATCAGGCCAAGGATAAATGGATAACAAGTAAAAGAAGAATATACAGTCACAAGCTACCGAGAGGAAAAAAAAAAAAGCAATCCTAAGATAAGGTGATACAGTTGCAAGAAATCAGGAAAGACAATCAAATTAAACAAACCATGGAAAGGAAAACCAGCTTCTCTTTTTAAGCAATCTCTGTTCAGCTGCTTCTTTTGATTTTACAGATTCAACCTTGGCATGTGCTATGAATCTGAAACATACATACACCATCTCTAAGGGTCAACAATCATGAAAGGTAAAGGAGATAGTTCAAATATGAACTGCATTCCACGACACCTAATATCTATAAAAACTCATATGGGCAGAGGAAAAAAGAAAACAAAAAGCAGACAATACAATTAAGATGGAGTGAACAATAATTGAATACTGGACGATATATCTATTGTAAAGTTTACTCCTATACTGCAACATATTACACGGTTACACAATTACATTTCAAAATACAGCACATAAGCAGTAAATACCTCAAAAAAAATCAATTGATTGATTACTAGGATTGCCACTGAAGACTACTTTACAACTCAAAATACATCAGTCCTTTGCAGTTGTGTGATAGAACTACCAAATTCCAGCAAAAATACATATCCGCAAATTCTATATTCCAGAACCTTTTCCTAAAAATGAACCAAAAAAATTTATAAAAAAAAACTGAGAACACCTTATCAACTTCAAGGAGAAGTACCGAAATAGCCTCATGACAAACCCTTTCTTCCTTCTTTTCCACATCTTCAATTCAAAATTTTGATATGAATGTTCCATTTAATGACCATCTACTACTTCACCCCAACTTAAATTAAGGGCACATCTAGACTACAATTTTCAAGTCCAAACAACTCAAACTTCCTATACACATTAGTGATTAAGCACTTTTGATAGTCTCATGCAGATATCATGGATAACATCTCTATCTTTAAACTACACAAGCACAAAATACCCCTCCTATCAGGCATGTTAGTATCGATCAAATATGCGATGCATCCTTGAATAGGGCCTCCAGTTTTACATTGGACTGACATGATGATGATAGTGCAATCACATTAATTTTACTTACTACAGTCCTGTCCCGTAGCCATAATTAGGAACTTTTTCGATTTTTATAGGTTCAAGAAAGGAATTGAATTTCCAATATGCAACCATAACAGTTAGGAAGAGTTCAAGCAAATTTCCATAAGAAGATATTTTCATCTTTCCTACCTTCTTGTCTTCTTCCTCATCCCTCCCTTGGCCAGAAGAAGAGATTGGGAGTTTTAGAAGTTGTAGCATTCTTCATTTATTACCTTCTCTTCTTTTCTCCACTTGCTTCCTCTTCTCTTGTGAACAAAAGACTTGGAAAAAGTGATACATTGATAGCCAGCATTTAGTAAATTGGNAAGAGATTGGGAGTTTTAGAAGTTGTAGCATTCTTCATTTATTACCTTCTCTTCTTTACTCCACTTGCTTCCTCTTCTCTTGTGAACAAAAGACTTGGAAAAAGTGATACATTGATAGCCAGCATTTAGTAAATTGTTATGAACGTAAGTTTCATATTTGGACATTAGCTCTCTTAGGAGAGGACACAAACTCTTTTTTTCCTTCTAAATCTAAAGCTGAGGAAATTGGTGGTAGGGACTCTCTACCCATATTTGCCCAGTGGATATGTGAATCATATCTTTTAGCACAATCAGCAAATATTGGATTGACAATTGTTGACAATTGACGGAGCTGAAGATATCTTGGTGTTAATTGATTGTGTTCATGTCAACAAATTGACATGGGGTACCAGCTTAGCTTTGCAACCTTCACATATTTGTAGTTTGTTATGAGTCTTTGTTTTGGTTCATATGTATTTACCCACTCATGTTATTGTTCAGCCAATTGAAACCCAGCAAGCTAGTGCATGCCAGCACATATCACCACACAATTTTTTGCAACCGAAATCATGGTACTCCTAATAGATTTGTGTGGAAGTTTCCATTGTAAGCACTACTAGCCTAGTAGATAGCTACCAAGAACTTGGCTGGTTGGTTTTGTAATCTGCTAGGAGTAAATAACTAATAAGAAAGAAAGAACCTACTATGCCATTCAGATGTAGAATTGCCGCATATCATAAGAAACATATGCACACGTTTTGCAGCAGTAACAAACAATAAGTGTAAAATAAAGTTAAGGCATGGAGAATTAGAATCTTTTGTATTCTGATAGACAGCATAAGCTAGAACCACTTTCTTTGTGAAACACAATAGATAGGGTAAGCTAGAACTGCATACCTCCATAAGAGAATCACTTTGGGATCAAGATCTTTCTCAATATCTCTAATTTCTGAGTAATCAACATTCGGAAACTGTTGCAATGAACCAGCATACAACTGGATGTAACGTCGACGTAGATGACATAAATGCTGAGTTCGGTCCCACGAGAATCGATAGCTGAAACAGTTAAGATAATTAGAATATAACACACAACCAGAGAGAGTTGCTTATCAGAATATGTAGTAAAATTGTAGGGAAACTGTTTAAAGAAAGAAGAGGCTTGCAATTTGTTTCATCAATTATAAAGTAGATGGTTATCAACATGTCTTGCATATGGATTATTCAGATGTTACCTCATCTTCTTCTGCTGCAAGGCAGCTTGAACAGCATAACGCCACCACAAACTGGGAGCCTCTGAAACTGGTCCCACAGGTCTTAAATGGGAAACCTCAACATATGTCTTGTATCGTGAAATGACTTCCAGGAGTTTGATCCAGTCGTGATACTGAGCCTGTGACAAGAACCCAATTAATATGCTTAATCTAACACACAAACTGTTCGAAAGAAAATGAAACAGGAAAAATAAGAAAGTAAATTATAGCCTCCTACTTGTCCTCTTCTGATTACTAGGAAAATAAGAGAGAAAAAGCGGAAAAGGGTACAATCAGGGGGGCAAGCTCATGGAAAACCCCGTCCACATGACCCAAGGTTCAGGCGGTAACAGTAAGGAACACTTGCTGCCAATAAAGATTTTTTAGTTGGTCATGGTGGCAATCGCAAACGTATTTTCCTTCTTCTTACTTCTTTGGCCAGAGGCAGGAAACTCTCCAGGGGGGCCAACAGCACTAGTTATGCTGCCTTATGTAGTATTACTATATATGACAATAGCAAGTATTTTCTTCTTTCAAAGGATTTTCTCGGTTTAAGAGCATGTGGTTATTTACGAGAACTTTGTCTTCCTACTTCACAATTTTTATTTTCACTCAACCCAAGAGAGGGAAATTCATTTGAAATACAATTCTTTCAAAAATCAGGCACAACATAGATAGGTAGAGCAAAGGACACATACAACAAAATTTATAGAAGAAAGTCAAGATAGATTACCTCAGTGATTGTTAAAGATACATCACTTAAAATAAGAGAAGCCTTCTCAAATGGAACATGAGGATCATTTCTTTCTTGATTTCCCAAACGATGATATTTAAGAACTCCGTTGATAGGTGAAACTACATAGTTGCGATCTCGAGCCCATGTAGACACCATTCCATCACCATTTGCAGATTCACTAATACCATCTTCAAAGATCTAGAAAATATAAACAGAGAATTTGAAAAAAAAAACAAAAAAGAAAAAGGAAAAAATACTAATGTCTGATAAACACAAAATCCACTAACATACACGACAACTAATAATATTGCTTCAAGCTTATGTATGTCACAAGCGGTGCAGAATAAAGTAGGGCCTAGGGGGCACTAGTTCCAATGGGATCAAACATACCTCAATCCATTCTTTAGGGCTAAGATCTTCCCATTTTTTATCCAACTTCCAGGGAAGGCAATTTGGGTCATGGTACACAGCAAGCCTTTGAAGTTGCAATGACTAAAACAAGAACATGTATGATCAGTCCAAATACTAGAGTTGTCATGCAAATATGGGTAAGCAGAAAGCACATATATTGTCTTAACAAAGAACACCAAAAAATATAAGACTTCTAACCATGCTATATTTAATCAAAAATCTTTCGCATCATTTCAAGAGCTGTGGGTGGATAAGTATTACAATACATGAAATTTTACTGCTATATCAAGCCAGCAAACATTCACTGTATCTATCAAACTGATAAAAAGAGTGAAAATAAATTCACATTCCAAAGGTCATATAACAGTTTCATAGTAATGGGTGGATATATTGTCTGTTGTACCCCAACCATGGATCACAGATGGAATACTGATGATAATAACCAAAAATCATGTCGTCAACAGCTACAGTCATGCAAAACTTGATCTGAAACTCAATCTCTAGTGCATTTAAACATGTGCTTTGTAAGTAAAATATTCAACAAGGCCTGCATAGTAGTCTGTTTTGAAAAAGTCAGGGGAAAGGACAGAGCTGACCTTCCGCAATTTATCTAGAGCACCACTGGTGTCAAAGGTCTCATTCCCCTGCTCATCCGTTGTAACAGCAGCAAGCTTTGCTAGAGTAACACCACAAGCAAATGGGTTTCCTGGATTGCTAAACAAAAATCGTGTTCCTCAAAATTGTGCAGAAATCAAACCAGAGGGAAGATGAGATGGTCGAACAGATCAATATATCTTGAATGAGGTCAGAAAAGCATAATATAAAGAGATAACTGTATCAATTACAATTTACATTATAAAGGAAAAGAAACTCGTCTAAAATCAACTGAACTCCAACTGACATATATCCACCAACCTGATAGAGTCCTCATATCTAATATGAACATTGCTAATGGAGATCTTGAGATTGCCAATAATAGTAGCAATCAACGAACCCAACCAAGAATTTCCAGAAGATGGCTGTGGAAGAATAGAAATAAATTAAGTCACAAAACAGGCAACTGTCAACTAGTTTTCTTGTAGATAACAGCAAGTACGACACAAAATCAAGGAAAGCAATTGATTGATGTAGATCCAACACCGACGTTTTCTTATATTGAGAGCATGCTAAAAAGAAAACATTCTTGAAAGAAAGAAAGTTAGTTTGAGATGGCTTAAAGTTTAATATTTAGATTAGAGTTTGAGATGGCTTCTACAGGTTTTTTATCAATAGAAATCTACACACTAAAAGAGTCCAAACTACTTCACATGAAACCAGTAAAAAATTCTTTTGATTATTCTTGTCTGGAAATCACTCACACAACATAGCTAATGCTAGAATATGCTGCCTAAATGAACTGAAAGAGTTATTTCTCACTTGGACTACCATTGATCCTACAAAGCTTTGTCTCTTGGCTTTTTTTTGCTTCTTATAAAGCATTCTTCAAAACGACGAGGGTGAAAACAATCTACCCACTCAACAGAAAAAAGAAATCATACAATCTATTACACACTAGATTTTCCTTGACATTTGACCATTAATCAGTGGAGGATCTTCCACCTGAGTTTCCCTAATAAAAGAATCAATCCCTCATATTGTTAGTCACTCTACTCCCAGGATACCTCATCACATTGAAATCTCCACATAAACACCTCTGAGGACTACAAAGACAAAATAAACACCAATTCTTCCAACAATAGACCCCTTTCCTTAAGATAGTTTGTCTTGCATACCCTGATAACCACCACTCAAAACCCTCTGTGAAATATAGAAGATTACAAATTAGAAATGATTAATCTACAAAAGTTTACATCAACTAAGAAACCATTGGTCCAATGGTACTCCTTGCCTTTGGTCTAATGGTACTCCTTCCCTTGTGAAGGCCTTGCCTTCTTAAGATCAAGGGTTCAAGCCCCCTCCCCCTCCCAAAAAAACAAAAAAAAAAAAAATTTTAAAAAACTAAGAAACCATTGTTATGCAAACTCAATAAAATATTAGAAATTCAAAGCCATACACTTCCCAGCTTTGATCTTGATAGTGCTTCAAGGGTTGCCGATTCTGCTTCCTGACACAAGCAAATAAAGAAAGATATAATTACAAACTTATCAAAAATAAAAAACAAATACTAAACAACAACCCTTCAAGAATCTGCTACCTGCAAATATGTAAAAGAAAATCCGTGGAATGGGTGCAAGGGCTATGTTTCAACTATGAAGATGTTGTATCCCATAAAAATAGGATCATCTAAGGTGCAATACCAATTCGTTTGGGTTTGGATACTCTAATATGGTGTCAGAGCTGAGCCTTATGTGGTTAATGCACGAAGTCTCTCACCCCTTTAAAATTCCCAGTATGAATATTTGTTTGTTGGTTAGCCCCACGTTAGGTATGATGAAATGGGAGCTTGTGACACACATCAGTATATTAGAAGCATCCAACGTAGAGATTAGAGAGAGTTTTCATGTATGCATATTTGTACCTGTTCATATCATTAATTGAATATCTTAGTTTTGTACAAGGAAAATCATAGGGAATAAAGCAATCGAGTACAAACATTACAACAGACCCCTTATATGACACGTCACACATCAGTACTGCATGTTTTGTACATATATGTAGCTAGTGAGACTCTTCTGTTCAGTGAACAATATATAAACAAGCCAATACTGAGGAAATATATGTGACTCACCAATGAGACTCATTCTGTTCAGTGAACAATATTCGGTTAGTTTTAATTACAGTTATATTCTCATTCATCTCCTATTTTATTTCCTTCAGTAAATGCATTTAGTAAGTAGAACTTAGTCCAAGAATGACATATGCATAACTACACCAACTTTTTCTTTCATAACTAGATCCCATTTTTCCAACTTCAAGCCATTGCAGTTAAGGAAATAGAAAAAAAGAAAAAGAAAAAAGTACCAAAGAAAACACAGTAACCAGATCAGCCCTCTTTTTCAAACTTCTACCAGGTACCGAGCATCTAGCTAGATTTACTTCTTAGGTGAAGATATCACCTTACCTTGCAAAAATCAGAGCTTATTTAAAAGCACAACCTCCCCCCCCCCCCAAAAAAAAAAATAAATAAATAAAGGCCAAAAAAATTCCACAATGGCCCTAAGCAGCTAAAGGTGTCCTCTGAACTCCTCGAGCTTGATCACACTCCTCCTTGCTAGATCAACTGCCATTACAATTGAAGACCATATCAATTAATTAAACTCCATTAGTGTTGCCTGAAGAAGACCACGACTTCATGTATAAAAGCCGTAATGCAAAGTTCCAATTAAGGGTTTGCCTTGTTTAAAAGCCAAACCCTCCTTCTAAAAGGATGCGACTAAACTCCCAAAAGAAGGCTTCTTCCAAGCTTTCATCAAGAGCTAAAATTCCCACTTCAATAGAATTATCAATGTCAGCAGGCCTAGAGTATCCCAATAAAAATTTTAAAGTTGTCACCAAAATGCCTTGGACACAGATTTAGGCGCCAAATTGTGAAACCCATATCCCATAACAAGTGAGCAAAACATAAACACCATCTCACAAAAAGGTAGAGCACATACATTACATTAGGAAAAATAAAACAAAACAAAACAAAACAAAAAAAAAA